GTGTGATTGAATTATATAAAAATGAGGTAAAGCGTAAAAAATATTTTTTCTTTAAAATCGGAAAAAAGAAAAAACTGTTTCAAATCCTTATTTAATTTTTTTAATTTATTCACTTTAGAACAAAATAATAGAAAGCATTCCGTTCACTTCAAAAACAAAATTTTCATTATTTTCGTCATCAGATTATACGATATTGTTATCTCAACCAATGAAACGTTATGTTAAGAATTTTATACTTAATCCCAGAACTATATCATTGTGTGTTCAATGGTATCAAGTATTATATGACCTATTTTCTGAAACAACTAGTAAATCAATACCTCCTTCACTTGGAGTCACCATACCAGATTTGGATATTAAATTACAAATTCCTATTTATCAAAATGATGATGATGAAAACTTTTCATTATTGAGTATGAATGCTGAGAAAGTAATGAATGCTGTTTTAAATGAATTGAATTTTCTTACCGAACAGAATGATGTATTAGATAAATGGGTAAAATCTAAAGATTTAAGATTATGTTGGAAGAGGTATGAAAGGTTGGAATGGATTGATGAAAAAGATCATGTTTGGAATGATTCGTTGAAATGTCCTCAATTTGTTGAGCAGGTATTTTATGTAAAATTGTTTGATTTTAAAAAATATTTTTTACTAATATGTACGTCTAATACATTAGACTCATCAGTTGCAATTAAGACCAATTGAGCATTATCCTACATCAGTTAAATTCAAAGATGGAACTAGATTAATCGTAATAAAATGTTTATGTATATAGTTCTCTAAAATTTTTATTATAAATGTATCTATTAAAACTATAATTTTAAATTTAGGAACCACCATCAATTGAAGGATATTTGAACAAAATAACAAATGATAAGGGAAAAAGTATAAAATCAAAAAGATTATATTTTGCTTCACAAAATAATTATCTGTTCGTTATAAATCCATTAAATGCAAGTCCACCTCCACCTCCAAATGTGTCCACTACAACCGTTATTGATACAAGTGATAATAATGACATTCAACATTATCCATTAATTTATGCAATTTCACCTATGAATTCTGATATGAACAGGAGAGTTAATCAGATTTTATGTGCGAAAGGATTTATTGACTTAACCGAAATTATTGAGATTAAATGTTTAGAAGAAGTTCTAGAAGCGGATGAGGTTAATGACGGAGAAGGGTGCACTTTTAAATTGTTAAAGAAAAATGGTAAAGTTATTACTCTAAAGGTAAGAAAAGATATTTAAACATTTCAATTCTCTGCAAAATAATATATAAAATTTATTTATACATTTTAATTTCTTTCTAGGCATATTCACGGCAAACACGAGAAGAATGGATAAATCATCTAAATGAACTTATTAAATATTGGAAGGCAAGAATATCGCGAGATGTGAGAATAAGAGTCGAAATTATTAAAACAAATCAATCATATTATCATGAGACAGTTGATGATGGATTTTATCATTGGAGGAATTCAAAATCTTATGTTAATCCAATATTATGGAATTGTTGTGTATTAGATAGATGTCGTGGAATCATTGTAAGTACGACGAAACAAATAATAATATAATCTTTTATAAAAAATTACTAAAAACATTTTATTATCCTTTTAGAAATCTGGGTGGTTATATAATAAGACACAAACCGTGCAAACATTTGAACATTATCATCATGTTCTAACGCATGGCCATCTTATTTATTTTCATCGTAACACGCGTTCCACCTTATCAAAATGTACGTCAAACAAAAGTTACCACAAATATAAATGGTGCATAAATTTGAGAGATTGTTATGTATATTCAGGAGAAATAACGGAACATGAATATTATGATTCAAATCAATCACAAGAACGAAGTGTCGCTAAATCATATAATAATGGTCAGTTGGCCAAAATTTATGGGGATGGTATGGTATCTTATGATAATTATAAAGATACAAGTTTTGTTATTTGGAAAAATAAAAGAAAGTATTGTTTTGGTAATGATGGGATGAAAATCCAAGTGAATCGAAGAATCCAATTGAATACTCGGGGAAAATTTTGGGTTTTTAGAGCTAGAAGTAGAATGGAATGTGAAGAATGGGTTTGGGCCCTTAATGCTGAAATTGAACGTCTTTATAAAAATGAAAATACTTGAATTAGCTTATAATTTAATTAACCTCTAATTTGTAATTTATTAATCTATTTATTAATAATATTTATTAATAGCATGCGACAACATTTTTATGATATTTTTAGGCTCTCCTTGATTAGACACTTTCTCTCCGTAATATTAACAACGAATATATAATATGTTAACATGGGAATGCCGGATGCAAAACAGTTATAATCATATTCTCAAGACAAGTTCGCCAATGTGCTTTACGTGTTGGGCTTCGCAAAATATATAAGATCATCGAAGAATAAGCGGATTTTGATGACGCTTATATGGGCACTACGTCCGATTTAAATTTTTTTTTTTTTAGTTTCCTCCCTTTTTACTACAAAACTGTATGTGAAATTGTTGAAAACTGGTTTGTGAGTCAATGCAAGAATTCATATCGATAATATACTTGTTATTGATTAATGTTCATGCGATTGGTATCTGATTGCCCTTTTATAAAAATCCCGTAACGAAAATGAGATAAATTAGATTTCTCGTAAATATTTTTTATTATATGAGGGTAATAACATTATATTGACGTTCTGGTTCTCTATCAATAAAGCACTTTTTATTCGTTAGTACAAAATAAATTTTCACGTGGTGCTTGATATCAATAAATTCGTTATTAGTTTTTTATTTTTATTAGCGCACGTGTGTTTATAATTTCTTTTCTCTACTTCAAAACTTTGTGCAGAACACACTATTCACCTTACGTGATCATATATAAAAATAAGGTATCTTATCCGCATTGAAAACCACGAATTTGAAACAGCTTGCATCGACGCAACCGCAGCAGTCCGCTTTGTTCCAAAATACTACACATTTTTTGTTAATTACGAGTCTCTTTCACCGATAAAAGGATAAGCCATTACGTAATATGAATCAATTATTTATCATACACCAACGTAACATAAATCTTTTAACAAATAAAACAAATAAAATGTAGCGCGGTAAACATTATTTTTAATTGGCTAATTTATTAGTATAAGAAAGCCCTTAACTTACTTCATCGTTATGGGTTACTTTTGCAGTTCAGAACTATTCCTCATTGCAATTACTAGTTCACGAAACACGATTTGACTCTCAATAAAGTAAATAGTATTGTGTAGGCTTGAAAACATGGCAAGGGGGTTTAATCACTAATTTATGATAGATGATGAGTATTTTTTACATTTGCCATTATACTTCATGTTTGATTCTCATGGTATCCCTAAATACCAACTAAAGGCGGTGTACCACGAAAACATGCAAATATGTTATTAATTCGCTTTGCCCGTTTTTATCAATAAAGTTGGTTGCATGCCTTTTTGTCGAAGTTTGGAATTTTGAGAAAAACCACATTCAAAATGAACACCCTTGTGAAGGGAAGGTGAGAACCATTTGAGTATCACTTCTCAAACTTTGAAGAGTTGATTTCTATCATAATTTTTGTGTTTGAAGCGTTCAAATTACGGATCATATACGATTTTACTTCCCATTTAGTATTACTTTTGTGCATTAAATTGATCTTGTAACCTCCTATTATATACTAGTTAGTTAAGTTGATTCCCGGTTTGATGATATGAGATAACAAAAAAAAAAAGAAATTGAATTTAAATTTTACTTTATCAACGTTACAAATTGTCTCATTAGGCGTCTTGTAATAGTATTTTTAGTTATTCCGGGGATTTGTATATTTATAACTTTTATGAACCCTCTAAATAAGGTTAGATATAAGATTAAAATGCAGGTTACAGAAATGGCATTAATGTTGATTTTTGATTTAGGTAAGGGATAATGAGAAAAAACTGTTTGAGATCGTTAACATGCATTAATTATGAATTCTCAATAATTTAGGAAACAATGACGGCGTTAAACATATTTATCAACTTTTATTGCAAAATTAAGTGATGATTAATCCAATCATTATGATAGGATTAATATTAGTGACGATAAAAATTTTAACGAATTTAAAGGAATTTTTTATTTTTCACGTTTTGATTGGTCACATAAGCTTATAACACTTTGTCAAGTTTAAACTTTCTTTTCAATTATAAAAAAAAGATATTATTAAAGAATTACTCATTTGGGTCGGTCGTAAAATGCGACGCCTAATAAATTTAAATTTCTATGTTATTCTTTACTCGACTCGTTTCCTCTTTTTTTTTTTAATTCACACTTTCGTCTTAGAATGTGTCTTTATCCTTTAATTTAGCCATTTAAAGCTGAACTTTTTTGCTAAATTCTTGGTTGATTGGATGTGTGATAATAATGATGATAAAGAATTGTCGATCAAGTGAATGTTGGAACAACAATAATAATAACGATAATTAATTTCTTGTATTTTCATATTGTACTTACTACATGAAATAAAAAAAGTTGTGCAATAAAATTTTAGATTCGTGACATTCAATTCAGACACTGACTAAAAATTATTAACTCGACTCGGAGATATTCAATTACTTATTTAACTATGGACGTAATGTAATGTTTAAAGTAATAATAGTAATTGCTGTGAATTTGGACAATTTAAAACCTCAATATTTAAATTATTACTATTGTCATCCATTTACTTGGCTGGTCCGGGAGATCCCTCCCTCTTCAAGTGTTGGGATGTTCCTCATCAAAGGGTTATGAATTGCAAGAAGTGGCTTTGTCTCTTAATTTCCCTTTTGAGTGTCCGTTTCGTTGCTTGTAAAAGTATAATTGTTATTTTTGGGGTAAAATTTCAGGTTTTGTGTAAGTAATGATGTCACCTTGCTTTTACTTCTGTAACAATTAGGGTTGAGAAGCGTCATTACGTTATTTTTCGATCATGATATTAATGATATCTCCGGCAATCCGGATTACCAGGTAAGACACAAACCGAACAAAATTGAATTGTTTGTTTGTGGCCTTGTGTAAGGATTAGAATTTCTCTAGTATAAGCTCACTAATCAAAACGGTTGCTTGCATGACAACGTGTACTGGTTGTGTAAAAAAGAAAATTTTTGAAACATATTGCGGAAACCAATGAGATTATTAAATCCAACAGAAATTTTTTTTTTTAAAAAAAAAGGGGATTAACTTAATTTGGAATTTCATTTCTTAAAATAAAGATTTTTGTTGATTTACCAAACTTACCAAAAAGGTAACGATTGTAAATTAATATGTGCGATAACTTATCAACCGGAAAATGATCAATTTATTTTTATTATAACGAATTAAGATCTACTATTATTATACTATTATGGTAAATTAATACAGAGTAGGGAACAGTATACCTAGTATACCTAGAATACCTTCCACTTGATTTGATTATAAATCATGCGCGTTTTCTTATATAAAGGGCGTTTACAATACATTACCTTACCTCAATTTTTTTTAATATTTTTTAGATAAAAGGTCGCGTTGAATTTTTCAACCGCCTATCCTTTGTAAAATTTTTTTCTCTCTTATTAATAATTCTCAAAGTAAAGGATGGAAAATCAATCACCGACATCATCATTTTCAAATATAGAATTTAAAATCGTTGTATACTTTGGTATGGTAATGATAATTTTGAATGGAATCTGTACTTTATATGTATTACGCAGAACATTAACTCGATGGATTATTTCAAAGAAGAGTCTTCCCATGGCTCTTAGAGTTCCGTTTTACATTTCCTTATCAGGTACACATCAAAGGGAGTTTATTAGTTTTCTTTTTTAAAGGAATATTTTTAACCGTTTTTAATTCTCTACTCTTCTTAGATTTCATGCTATTTTCGATAAATTTTCCCAATATGGTGAGTTGAACGAGCGAAAAAATGTTGGTTACACAACGAAATCAAAAGAATCCCGCGTTTACCTTTCCTTTTTTTTCCCTCCTTTTTCGATAGTTGTTTCCGGTAATACACGGGGTACCATGGTCTAATTCAAATTGTAAAATAATAGGGGGGATAACATTTTTTACGATATCAACAAATATAACATTGGTCGGTTTATTGGCATTTTTGACGTATTTACGTATTTGTCGTAAAATGATCATTGATTTGGGAAAATACGATTATAAGGCCATTCTATTCATATTATTTACTAGTATTGTTTATACAATGATTAGTTTGCCATCATATGGATCGGGGAAATATTGGTGCTATACCAACAAGACAAGTAACATTTTACCCATCGTTACCCTGATATTAAATTTCGGAGCCTTGGCCATAACTCTATTCTCTTACTCACTCACGCTCAGAGAAATCAATTCCATTAGTTTCATTAATGATCATAATAGGGAAAGGGAAAAGGAGAGGGAAAGATTTGAATATAGTAATTTTAACAGTAATACGTATCTTAATAGAAATTATGTTGATGGTAATACCAGTAATAATAACGAAAATGTATCAAAGATCGTGAAAAAGATTGAGCCGATCGTCGTTAGGAAAATAATTGGTTACGTTTTAATATTTATGCTTCAATGGACCCCTCCGATGATTTACGTTGTTGGTCAGATCATTGATTACGATCCTTTGTGGGTTTATTTGATAACAGGTAAACAAAAGTTCTTTAATCCCTTCTCAATGTTCTTCTCTTCTCTTTTTTTATGAACTAAAATGACTTTCCCTTTTGATTCAAAGACGCATCGGTGAATATGGGTGGAATAGGTAACATGATTCAATTCATAATAAATGAAGGTTGGAAAGATCCTTATGTTCCACCCCAAAAACGTACTTCAACGAGTTCTTCCATTATTATTAATACCCCTCATGAACCTTTCACGCAAACCCCTCTTCATCTCCTTCCTCAAATTAATAACTCTACCTTTGAAGTTACAATTAAAGTTGAAACAAATACTGAGGTTTCAAAAAGCTTTTCTAGTGACACCTCTAAACCTTCTACCGTTACAATAGTTAATACTGATAACGAACATTTTACCAATAATGAAGAAACTCGTTTACCGCGACCTGCTTCTTCCAAAGATCATCTCATATAGCATTCAATAGAATTTTCTTAATTACGAGATGTACATAAAAATCCTTAATTTTTTTAATTTAACTTGTAAATTTTTTCAAATAAAGTCATAATATAAAAAATCGTACTTATTATTTTTTTTTTTTTTGATCAACTGACTTTCACAATAATTCAATAAACAAATGAACTCCGAAACTGCTGCGCAGCATATCATTAATTGTTTTAAAACGGTTTCATATTTAAAAAAAACATTGTTTCAATGACCTTATTTTAACCCAATAAAGCAAATAAAATCGGATTATCATTTCCGATTTTTTCTTTTTTTTAAGAATTATGAAATTTTTTTTTTTTTTTTTTATTTCACTTCAAATCCGTTGCGAATATTTCTCTCTTGTTGGCTAATTTTGGATGAATGAACCTTTAACAGTTAATGTCGGAGTAATCAATTAAATATTTAATAAGATTTTACATATTTTAAATTGTAAAATATTGGGAAATTTAAAGTTTGATAATGATAATATTCTTGATTGTTACATAAAAAAAAATTGTCTTTTCAAATGTACATGTAATTATTGCATAACTTTAATAATCGTCTCACACATCCTTTTTTTTTTTCCCATCACAAAAAAATTCTGTTTTGATTTTGTTTATCAATTCTTACCTACCATAATTGGTATGGCTTATTGATTTGTTAAACCGGAAGCGTTCTAATTAATTTGTTTTGTTTTCTTTTCGAATCTATTGGTTCGTGATGCAAAAAAAAAAAATATTTACAATCTATCCGGATCAAAGGATCCAATCGAACACTGGTTAAATTTTCTTTCCCCCCCCCCACCCCCAAAAGCCGTGGTTGTAACAAATCTCGATGATTAAATTGAAGGCTTATTTATTGACATTTCGTCCCTCATGAAATGAAGGTTATTCGTCCCCATTGAAATTATGCATGGGCATATTTTACCCCTCCCCCCAAAGATTCGGTAAGGTCTATATCCTGCAAAGGAATTTCCCAAATCAAAAAAAATCCCTCTTAATTTAAACCTTTCCTTTAATTGGAGCCTTCATGAAAAAAAATGATTTAATGATTTTGATTAACAAATCATTTTACTGCATTCATCTCCTTTAATAATCTGTATCAATTTTTTTTTTTTTTTTTTTTGATTTATGGTTTGAAACAAGAAAAGCCCGCAGATTTCGCCGAATGTTGCAGACAATCAAAAAAAATTTTTTGGTCGGAGAATCGGAGTAATAGATTTAGATGAAATATCGAATGAACTTTAACAAATCGCACCTTTTATTATTAGATCTATAAATAATGTTTAATTCAAATTTAAGAAGAATAGTCTTGTAGTCTTGAAGTAAACGAATCATAGACAAGAATTTTTGAAAATTTTTTAATCTTTTAAAATACTTGAATAAAAGAAAGCTATTGAAAAATAATAATAATAATAATATGTTAAGTATTGCTAATAAGACAATTTATTAAAAAAAAATAAAAATAAAAAAGAAGTTACAAAGAATTAATTAATAAAACAAAAATAAAAATTAATTTAAAAGTTTATAATTTTAGAAAATATAAGTAATCAGTTTAGCAATTAAGAAATAATAAAATATTTTTATAATAAACATAATACTATAACTAAAAAGAAATAATATATAAATTAAAAATTAAATTATTTCTTTTTATAATAAACATTTTTATTTAATATTTTTCTAAAGTAAAATTAAAACTTTAAAGTTTTTTTTAATAATAAATATTAATTAATCAAAAATATTAAAAATATAATTAAACAACTAAATTTTAAAATAAAAAAAAATATTTAAAATATTTTTAAAGTATCTTAATTAATAATTTAATTTTATATTAATAAATTAATTAATATTATCAATATTAATTTAAAAATTATTTTTATCCCTTCAACTGTTTTGCCTACAAATTTGTAGGCAATTTTATTTATTAATTACAAAGGGTCTCTAAAAGTTTACGCACACTTTTTTCGTGTGAATTTACTCAAAATTTTATTAAAAAATTAAGCAATTTACAAATAATAAA